TTTGAAGGCCTGGGAGACTGTATTGTGAAAATCAAGTATGATGGAATTTGTGGCTTGTATCAAGGTTTCAAGGCAGCTAGGGGACGAAGTCGATAGAGTGCTGGACCCGAAGTCAGGAAGACTCATCTTCCTAAGTTCAAATCCAGCCTCAGACACTTACTAGCTAAGTGACCCTGGGCAAGTCACTTAGCCCTGTTTGCCTCAGTTTCCTCATCTGTAAAATGACCGGGAGAAGGAAATGGCAAACCACTCCAGTATCTTTGCAAAGAAAAACCCCAAATGGGGTCACAAAGAGTCAGATATGACTGAAAAATGACTTAGCAAAATCAAGGTTCCAATGTCACAGTGCAAGGTATTATTACCTTTAGAGAAGCCTACTTTGGAATCTGTGATACAGCAAAAAGTATGCCCCTGGAGCCCAAGAGCACTCATATTGTGGCAAGTTGGAGATTGTACTAACAGTGATTGCTGTAGCAGGTGTGGTCTCCTGTGCCTTTGATACAGTAAGACGTAATGATGCAGTCTGGGCACAGAAGAGCTAATATCATGTCCATTGGAAAAACTGACCGCTGGAGCAAGACTGCTAAAGGTAGAGGTGACAAAGCATTTTTCAGGGGTGCCTGGTCCAGTGTTCTTAAGAAACGTAAGTGGAGCTTTCATGCTTGTTCTGTACAATGAACGGAAGAGAGTAATTTAAATACATCCTAACCAAAAATGGAAATGGTGAATATAGACCATGTATACTTAACCAGACATTTTAGACCACTGATTTTCAAGAAGTTCCTGTTGTCTTTTTCTCTAAGCCATATAATGTTTGTAGAGGAACTTTATTGCATTCTATTATTCACACAATGGAACTGGTAATTTGGTATATTGATTCTATTGGTTTTGGGAAAATAACAGTTACCATGGGTCCAAGGAAGCAGATCAACTTAAATGATGTAATTTAGATACTCTTTAGTGAACCACAAATTTATGTTTAAGTATTTACTTTTTTATTTTTTAAAATCATGTTTCCCATTTGTACTTAAGCACTACAACATACTATTTTGTACAGCTGAATATCTGGCAGTTATGATGATGTGTGTTGGGCATTCTGCTGTAAAACAGAAGTACACAGAACACTTTAAGACTCCTGATATAATAACTGCATTATCCAACATGGTTTGCTTGTGGTGGATTTTAGGGTTCATGAGCACAGTAAAGGTACTGGATTTATATTCATCACAATAATACAAAACGGATGCTGAATTCAATAGATACAGCAGAACATATGTTAAGATTTATTGAAAATAAATTGTTCTGGGGCAGCTAGGTGGCGCAGTGGATAGAGTACCGGCCCTGAAGTCAGTAGCACCTGAGTTCAAATCTGGCCTCAGACCAAACACTTGACACTTACTAGCTGTGTGACCCTGGGCAAGTCACTTGACCCCAATTGCCTTTAAAAAAAAATTGTTCTCATAGTGTTCCCTGCCTAATTTCCAAATACAAAGAAGCCATGTTAGGTTTACGGAAGGATTATTGGCTTTCTACCTCTCTTGCTACCCTTGAGGTAGACAGATTCTTTTAGGCCACAATTCAGAAATGCATTCCATTGGTGCAGCTAGGTGGCACAGTGGATAGGGCACTGGCCCTGGAGTCAGGAGGACCTGAGTTCAAATCTGGCCTCAGACCAGGTACTTGACACTTACTAACTGTGTGGCCCTGGGCAAGTCACTTAACCCCAATTGCCTTGCAAAAAAAAAAAACCAACAAAACAACAACAACCAGAAATGCATTCCAGAAATGCATTTTTTATACACAAAGACACAAGAAATGAAATGATTCAACTATAGTTACACAACAAATAAATAGCAGAGTCAGAATTAGGGCTCAAATACAATGAATACTATAGAAGATCTCAATAGTACCATGAATACAAGTATAGCCTTATAGCACATAGAATGTTGTGTAACAAATAGTTACTTTGCTGCAATGAGACTATATACAAAAAGAAAATTGTTTAGTAACTAATAGTGGAAAAAGCTCGAGTATAGTATAAAACAGAATGAACTTAGAATTGTGCTTTTCAAACCAGTAACGTATATCTTCAGACAGGTACCCTCATCCAATCATAGTAAAAAACAATTTTCAGTTAGAGAGAGGCATAGTGTCCCGGACTAGGACACTGTACAGTCCCATTATGCTTTACCCTAGTCAGACCACATCTAGTGTTCATTTCTGGGTGCTAGATTTCAGAATGGTATTGACAAGCTACAGAGTGTCTAGAGAGGGGCAACCAAGATGTTGAAGGGCCTCAAGATCATGGAATATGAGGATTAGTTGATGGAACCAGGGATGTTTAGGCTGGAGAAGAGAAGGCTTAGGGAGAACAAAATATCTTCAAATATACAAAAGACTATCTTGTGGAACAGGGATTAGACTTATTTGATTCTGCTTCAAAAGGCATAAGGAACAATATGTGGAAGTAGTAGAAAGACAAATTCAGTTTTGATATAGAAGAAAATTTCCCAACAATTAGAGTTATCCAAAAATGGAGTGGGTTGCTTCCAATGAAGGTGGATTCCTTCTGTCAAAAATCTTCAAGAAAAGGCAGGATGACCACATCAGAGTGGATGACCACATTGGATATTCAATAGGAGGGATTCATATTGAGGTGGGAGCCTCTTCAGTCCTTCTCAATTATAAGATGCACAGATTCTGCGAACCAAATGCTAATCTAATCTTTCCTAGTAGACTGGGATGGTAAGCAGATGTGAAGCTGTCATATGAAGAATTATTGACATTTAGCCTGGAGAAGAGAGGACTTGGGGAAGACTCATCTTTGTGAGTTCAAATCTAGCCTCAGACACTAAATGACCCTGGGTAAGTCACTTAACCCTATTTGCCTTGGTTTCTTCATCTGAAAAATGAGCTGGAGAATGGCAAACCACTCCAGTAGCCTTGCCAAGAAAGCCCCAAATGGGGTAACAAAAAGTTGGACACAACTGAAATGACTGAACAATTTGTTTTCAATTGTTTAAAGAGTTTTCATATGGAAGAAGGATGAAGCTAATTCTACCTGGCCCCAAAGAACAGAAAATAGCACTTATGGACAAAAGTAATAGTTAATAGCTATCAGCCAGATATAAAGAGGAAATTATTTTAAAAAAAATTAAAACTCTTTAAAAATGACTGTTTCAGGAGGTAGGGAGTTCATGCCTCTTGACGTGTTTAATTGGAGGTGAAATGGCCATTTGTTGGGGATATTATAGGGGAGGATTCATTTTCAGGTAGTAATTAGACTAGATGAATTCCAAATCTCTCCCAATTCTGAGGTTCCACGATTCTATGGTGAAAAAAAAAGTTCTGTCTCTTCTAGTACAGCGTAAGCCCGTTGCGAGCAGAAACTTTGTTTTGTTTTGTCATCATATCCCAGCATGTAACACACAATAAATGCTTTTCAAATTGAGCTGAAATCCTCTCCTTTCTTGATTCTCTCACACATTCTGTTTGTATCTTTTTGAGGCATTGTTGTATTATAATTTATATTATAATTGTTTGTGAATATGTCTGATTTGCCGCTTGTTGACTGTAAGCTTCATCAGGACAGGACTATGTCTCGTTTTGCCTTTGTATTCCCAGGGTCTAGGACAATGCATAACACATTAATAAATATTAAAGTGAGTGGATTCTAGCAGTTAGTTCCAGGTTCCCTATAATGAACAGATAAGAATCAGTTGTTAACTGGTAGCATCCTGTTGGTGATACATGTTGAATATTGTTCCTTCAAGTTCTTGATACAATTTGTTCTCTTTAATTTGCTTAACTTGCTTCACAAACACTTTCTCAGAAAGTACAAAAATCATCTCTACCCCGGCTTAGGGCAAGTGGTTTTGTTCTTTCACCATCAGTCTTTCTTTGATGACAGGAAGGACTTTCAGCATTTAGGAGGGTAATAGAATATAAGCTCCTTGAACGTCGTACACAGCAATAACAACAATGTGCAATGATCAACTATGATTGACTTAGCTCTTTTCAGAAAAACAATGATCCAAGACAATTCCAAAACACTCATGATGGAAAATGTTATCCATATCCAGAGAAAGAACTATGGAGTCTGAATGCAGATCGAAGCATACTGTTTTCACTTATTTTGGGTTTTTTATGTTTTTTTTCTTTTTGTTCTGTTTCTTCCGTCACAACATGACTAATGTGGAAATACATTCAACATGATTGCATGTGTATAACCTATATCAGATTGCTTAGGGAGTAGGGAGGGAAAAGAGAAGGAGAAAAATTGGAACTCAAAATCTTATAAAAAATGAATGTTGAAAATTATCTTTACGTGTAATTGGAAAAATAAAATACTATTTATGTTTTTTAAAAAAAGAATGTAAGCTCTTTGAGAGTAGGAATTATTTCATTCTTTATACTTGTATACCCAGCACCTAGTACAGTACCTGGCACATAGTAGATACTTAATAAATGCTTGCTAGATATAAAGAGAAACTTATTTTAAAAATTAGAACTAAAAAAAAAATGACTGTTTCAGGAAGCAGGGAGTTCATTTGATTGATCATTCCTAACATCAATTAATTATTTTAGCACAGTGAAGAAGCTGGGGAATACAAACACGAAACAAGACCTGGATGATGCCCTCAAAGTCCTTACAATTGAGTAGGGAGGAAAAAAGCACTCATAAACAATTATAAGTTATGTCATAATAATACATAGAATAATTCATAGAAAAAAATAGAACAGGACTTGGAACTGGAAGGAGCCTTATTATGACATAACAAAAGAATAGGCTTTGGAGTATTCGTTTCTAGTCAGCAGAGAAACAAAAAACTTGACTCTTTCCCAACAAAAGCAAATATCATAAGGGCTTGAATTAGCATCTTGCTTTCTCTTGAATAATTGTGTCATGGACAGGCTAGGATGAAAAACACCAATGATGACCATACGTGACAGCACAACTCCCCCAAAGGTTTGTAGTTAAAGGTGATTTCTAGCTTTACCTTGTTTTTTTTCTCCTTTTTAATGGCCTTTTGGGCTGCTTTTTGTTCCTGTATCCATAGCTGCTGGTACTTGTGCTGCATCAGATCAAAGAAGGGTGTGGAAGGCCTAAAACAAAGAGCCCAGACATGGTTTTAGGAGAAAGCAAAGCCCACCTTTCCACCCCACCTCTGTTCAAGCACATACTGGCCAACCATGTTCCCAAAAATCCCTAGGAGTTAGGGAACAACTATTTGGGGACATCTACTAAATGTTGGTCATACCCACTCCCATGATATCCTTCCTGATCACTACAAAATTCTTCATTTGGAACTTTGTGAATCATGGAAAAATTGGACACCAAATGCCAACCCCCTTCTTCCATGAAACTCCTAATTTCTGCATACAGAGGGATGTTTGAATGCCACCAGCGAGCAGAAGAGCCAGCTGCTTGTTATTGCTGGCGTGCCTTTGAAGTAGAAGGGGAGAAAAAAGACATTTCAGTTAAGGTTCGTCAACTGCCCCAGTGACTCTGGTCCATGGGGTCTTGGGGAGTCTCCATTGGTCATCCAAGCTGCCTGAAGAAGCCCCTAGAATAAGTGGCCATATCATGGGGGATAGTTTATAGATGGTCTCCATTGGTGGCCAATAATCCATAGAATGATGACCTAGACCTGGAAGGAATGTCAGGGGCCCTCGAGTTTAACCCCACCCATTTTACAGTTGAGGAAACTGAGGTCTAGTGACTTGCCCAAGTTCACACAGCAAACCCAGAAACTAGATTTAAGCCCAGGTCCTCTGACTGCAGAAGAAGTGTACCTTCCATTGTACCATACCACTTGCTAACAAAGTGAATTCTTAATGGCAGAGAAATAGGGAAAAGGATGATTGTTTTTGCCTTGATGAAATTGTAGGCTCATTGGGCATCTGACTACAACTAGTACTAGATAATGAATAGGAAGAGAATGCTACTTTTGATAAAGACAGCATGGTATCCTAGAAAGGACATTCAAATAGGGCTTATGGGACCTGAGTTCTAATTCCAATTCTTCTATGAACATCTAGTGGGACTCTAGGTAAGTCAATTAAACTTGCTGTGGGGGCAGCTAGGTGGTGCAGTGGATAGAGTCAGGAGGACCTGAGTTCAAATCCAGCCTCAGACACATGACATTTACTAGCTGTGTGACCCTGGCCAAGTCGTTTAACCCCAACTGCCTCGAAAAAACATAAATTAATAAACTTGCTGTGTATCAGTTTCTTCATCTGCAAAGTAAGGGTAATAATTTCCACCCTGCCTGTCTCACAAAGTCAGAGGACATACTCTATGTAAATATGTGTTGAATAATCATAAAACACTATGCAAGTATACCAACAATAATATAGACAAATGGGAAAGCACTAAATCAGAGGAACCCTAGGCAGCCTTCAGAAATTTGGTCAGTGACCAACATAGCCTACTTATCTTGAGGTAAAGAGAGCAACAGAAGTAAGTAATTTCAGTCATGTCTGACTCTGTGACATCATTTGGGGTTTTCTTGGCAGAGATGCTAGAGTGGCTTGCCATTTCCTTCTATAGTCCATTTTACAGATGAGAAAACTGAGGCAAACAGGGTTAAGTGACTTGCCCAGGGTCACACAGCTAGTAAGTGTCTGAGGCCATATTTGAACTCAGGTCTTCCTGACTCCAGGCTACGAGTTCTATTCACTGAGCCACCCACCTGCGCAACAACAACAACACCAGTGTACCAACAATGATATAGGCAGCTGGAGAAGCACAAAATTAGATGAACCCTGGGAAGCCTTCAGAAATTTAGCCAGTGGCCTGTGAAGCAGCCCACCCATCCTGAAGTAAAAAGAGCAACAGAAGTAAGTTATTAAACTCCTCTGACCAGCCTTTTACCCAGTTACATCATTTGAAGCATCTCTGGCTCCTAGTGGCTTGTTTTCCACCAACTCCATCCAGTAGCCTGGCATCACAGGCCCAGACTTTCAGATACAGGCCACTTTGATCTCAGGGAAGAATATCAGGTGTAGAGCAGTCAGCAACACTCCCTCTTATATGCTCTTATGTGATCAGCTCTTGGTCAATCACTTGAGCTACAAGTTTAAATCCAAGGTCTCCAAACCAGACTTTATGAAAGGGTCTTCCTCCCACTTCATCTCACAACCCCCAGAAAGTCATTCTTTGGGCCCCAAGGATCCCCTTCTCCTTTTGTGAATCTCTAAGCTCCCAATGACAGATGGATTATTTCTCAGACAGCATCTGGGAGTCTGATCTCATTCTTAAAATCCACTTTGGAAAAAAAAAAACCATTTGGTGATTAGTCCCCTTCTAATCTCTATCTCCACCCCCCATCTCTACCCCCTTCTTTTGATGGTGAATGGTCTCAGACACCTCAGGCTCTCTGAGTAAAGATTAGATAGAATGTCGAGACAAATCTAATAAGATAAAATGCAGGGACAAATGTTGGGGCAGCAAGGTGGAGCAGCGGATAGAGTGCCAAGCCTGGAGTCAGGAAGACCTGAGTTCAAATCTGGCCTCAGACGCTTACTAGCTATGTGACCCTGGGCCAGTCATTGAACCCTGTTTGCCTCAGTTTCCTCATTTGCAAAATGAGCTGGAGAAGGAAATGGCAATCTTTGCCACGAAAACCCCAAACGGGGTCACCAAGGATGGTACGTGACTGACACGACTGAGCAACAACAAAGGGACAAATGTTAAGCTTCACCCCGGGGTTCAAAGGATCAGCTCTCCAGAGGGGAGAAGCATCTAATGATGTCAACAGCAGTTTGTCTGAAGAAAATTTTGGAGATTTTTTTTAGTAGATTGTAAATTCAGTAAAAGATCTTAGACTACATAAAGAGAGGCATATAGTCCCACTGTGCTTTTCCCAGGTCAGACCACATCTGGTGCTCATTTCTGGGTGCCACATTTCAGGAATTGCATTGACGAGCTCGTGTCCCAAGGAGGTCAACCAGGATGGTGGTGGGCCTCGAGATCATGGCATATGAGTATTAATTGATGGAACTGGGGCTGTTTAGCCTGGAGAAGAGAAGTTTTAGAGAGAACAAGATTGAACAAGGATAGCTATTTTTAAATATTCAAAGTTGCCTGGGACAGGGTCTATCTAGACCAATAGATCAATTCCAATACTAGGCACTGGGTCCTGAGGAACAGAAGACCACCTTAGGCTAGACTTCTCTCCTGCCATACCCTCCTGGCTAGGATGCTCTTTGGGGGAAGTAGGCCTCCCTTTGGGAAGTTGTTTTGCCTTCCCTGGGCTGCCAGGCTTTCAGCAGGACACCACCTGAATCGAGAGCAGCCACCAGCTTTGAAATGCCACTCATGACCAGATGATCTTTTTATAGTGGAGGCAGAAGCCAGCAGTACATCGACAAATAGTGGCTCTTTTGTTTTCTGGTTCCTTCACCCCTGTGGTGACTTTTATTACTTAATAATTACACACCCCATGCTTCAGAACAGCCTAATTTATAGTCGTGTTTTCTAATGATACCAGAGGCATAATCTAGCAGTTTCTACCCCGAGAGGCCATTCATATCAGAAGAGCTCTTTCAACACCTCCTTCCTTCCCCTTCACTGCATATATCACAGGCAGCCAGGCCAGCCTGTCCCGTTCTCTGTGTTCCCTCCAGCAGCTGGCTCTGACCATTTACAACAGGTCAGTATCACAGCTTTGTTCCTTGCCCTTTTTCCAGCTAGGAGTCACCCTCCCCCAAAAGAGTCATGCTCCCCTCCCCCATTCCAAAGCCAGGGGAAAGGATGCAAATTGGAAAGGATGGGGTATAGGAGTTGATTAATGGAACTGGTCAGTGGCATAGGTCCAAGCCCTAAACATTTCTTAGGTCAAACCCAGTGCAACCATCCTTCTGTCCAATATGGACTAATGCATGGGTATTAGGGATGGGGAAGAGTACAATTTAAAATTAAGTCTGAATCTTGGAATTTTTAAAGCAATGCTGTTACAATGTTTGCCAGTACAGTATACATCACAAACTAAACTATACCCACATAAGTAAAATCAGGTAAGTTAAATGAAAAACATATAGTTGATGACAGGCTTCACGTACAAAATGACACAAACAGAAAAGTCTTTTAAAGGACATGGACCCTGGAGTTAAAAGCCTGCTTGAGATTTCTTGAAGCATTCAAACTACTTACGAATGAAAGCCATCATTAAAAAAAAGACATTTAATGAAATACTAGAGACAGAAAAGTAGTAACAGAACATTTGCCACATAAATCAGCTCCATACTCTCCCAATTAGATACTGGAGGGGATCCAGAGGAACCATGACCAGGATGGGGCATGGCCATGAAATCATGATCCATGAAGGAAGCAGAGGTGTTCAGCTTAAAGGAGAAAAGACTGGGGTGGGGGCAGGGGGCTTGGAAGTGGGGTGGAGGGATGGGGAATGCTATCTGCCTTTGAGTTAGCTCTTACATGGGAGAAGGAGGAGACTGTTCAGAGGGTAGAACAATGAGTGGGAATTGCAGAAAGGCAGCTTTTGGCTTAATACAAGAAAAATCTTTCTAACAGAGCCATCCCAAACTAGAATGGGCTGCTTCTAGTGGATTTTACTTCACTAAAGGTCTTCAAGCTAAGATAATGGTTTTCTGAGAATCTCAGACAATCATAGGTTAGACTGGATAGATCCATTAAAATGTGCAGAGGAAGAAACTCTGAAATGTCTTACTCGGGAAGAATAATCTGCCTTGGGTTGGACTGTTCCTATATCCTCTTGTTGTGGATTACGTGGAAAACTGGTGTAGGCATTCCCTCCATTGACCTAAATCCCACTCTACCTACAATGTAGCAGCTAACTCCTAGGGAGCTGTACTGAGGACCAGAGAAGTCAAGTGACTTATTCAGTGTTACATAGTATCAGAAGCCAAATCTGAACTTGATTGCATGTCTAGCACAATTTCCATAGTCTATTCACTATACCGTGCTTCATCTCTACTGAGGTTTTACTGTAGCTGCAATCAGGGTCAGTCATAGAGGTTACTTTCCCTCTAGCTTCCCTTCCAACTCCCTTCTACCACACCACAGTGTTCCCCAAACTCTTAAGCCACTACAGTTTCTCTTGTCAGTGAAGAAAGTGATCTGA